CAGCTTTAGCTTTGAGGCTTGGCTCCAGCTCTTAGGCCTCCGCTGCTGGCCTTTGCTTACAATGTTGCAATACTGCTGGCTGAAGTCCCGGCGGTATTTGCTATTAGTTGCTTAGAGTTGCAGCTCAGAGGCCTGCCGGTGGCAGGCAGGGAAGTTGGAGTCCTCCGTCACTGAAGCAAGCAAGCCTCATGTTAGTTTCAAGCTGCCTGACTGCCGGCTGCCATCTTGGCTGGCAGTTAATTTGCATATCTCGCTGATTAGCCACTGAAAAGTGTAGTGGTCATATGCCAATTACCATGTTTCTCTTTTATTAGTGTAGATGTTTACTTTGAATTTATATTAATTCACACAAACACTCCATCCATGCTTTTGTTCCGGCCCTCCAGTCCAGTTTAAGAACCCATTGTGGCCCTGGAGTCAAAAAGTTTGCCCACCCCTGGTCTAGATACATCTGTCTATCAAAAGCTGCTGTCACCAATGCAATGGCTACAGGAGTCCCCATCTGGAGTTCAGTGAAAGGAGAAACTTTATTCAGGTAAACAGTTTTCAAACCCAAGAAACACAGCCTCCAGTAGAAACCAAAAATGTCTTCCCCAGGGACAAAGGGAAGGCCACAATGTAGAGGAATCTTCACTATTTTCCAGTCTATCTCCATATTCTGCTTCTATTTCATTTTTTTAGGTGGATACCATGATCCACTAAGTTGATTTTGTGATCTATTAATAGATTGCCACCCTGAGAAACACTAATCAGAATCCAAAATATAAAGATCAGATTGTATCACATGTAATTAGGGTAATTTTTTCCAAAACACTAATTTTGGGGAACTAGTGTTTTAATGATGTATGCATAGGCTAGGTTGCTATCTACACTAATAAAAGAGAAAAATGGTAATTGGCGTATGACACTACCCTTTTCATTGGCTAATCAGGGCTATATGCAAATTGACTGCCAACTCAGATGGCAGTTAACTGACAACAAAGATGGCGGTTAATTTGCTATGTAAGCACAATGCAGGGAGGCGAAAGGGAAAGCAGGAAGAAGCCCCCTGCCACTGACAGTGATCAGAAACCCAGGGGGGAGCTAAGAGCCGGGTGGCAGCCTTCCCCCCCAGCCATGATCGGAGAATCAGGCGCCTTTGCCACCCTGGCCAGTGATAGCAGGAAGTAGGGGTGGAGCCAACGATGGGAGCTGGGCACAGTCGAAGCTGGCAGTCCCGGGAGCTAGGGGTCCCTTGCCTGGGCCTAAAGCAGAGTCCACGATCGCGGGGCCGCTGCAGCTGCGGGTCCCCGCTGCCCGGGCCGGACGCCTCGGCCAGAGGCGTTCGGCCTGGGCAGCGGCAGAGCCTGCAACCCCGGGGAGCTGGGGATCCCCTGCCCAGGCCTAATGCCTTGGCCTGAGGTGTTAGGCCTGGGCAGGGGCAGAGCCTGCAACTGCAGGGAGCTGGGGGTCCCCTGCCCAGGCCTAACGCCTCTGGCCGAGGCGTTAGGCCTGGTCAAGGGGCCGATCCGGTGATTGGTGATTGGAGGGTGATGAGGGTCAACTCCTCTGGCCGAGGCATCAGGCCTGGGCGGGGGTCAGAGCCAGTGATGGGGGGAGATGGGGGTCCCCTGTCCAAGCCTGACACCTCTGTCGGAGGCGTCAGGCCTGGGCATGGGTCGATCAGGCGCTCAGAGGGTGATGGGGGTCGACGCCTCTGGCCGAGGCATCAGGCCTGGGAAAGGGTGGAGCCAGTGATGGGGGGGAGAGGGGGGTCCCCTGCCGAGGCCTGACGCCTGGGCCGGAGGCATCAGGCCTGGGCTGGGGGCAGAACCAGTGATGGGGGGAAATGAGGGTCCCCTGCCCAGGCCTGACACCTCTGGCAGAGGCGTCAGGCCTGGGCAAGGGGCCGATCCTGTGATTGGAGGGTGATGGAGGTCAACGCCTGAGGGCTCCCAGTATGTGAGAGGGGGCAGGCTGGGCTGAGGGACACTCCCCCTCCGCCCCCCACCACCGAGTGCACAAATTTCGTGCACCGGCCCCTAGTATTAATATATTTCTAAGCTGGATCTCAATTAAAAAATTAATACTATTATTACCCCCCCTTCCCTGACTTCTATGTATATTTCATTTTTCAGAATCAAAACCAAGGGAAACCAAATTCCACTTACAAGCTCCTCACATGCCTCTCAGCTCCAGGTTCTGATCTAAGACATGTCTTCCCAAATAATCAACAAAATAATCAGGTCACTTCTATATCCAGAAAGGCTCTTTTCTCCAGCGCAAACCCAATGGTGTACTAATACCCTAATATAATAAACATCCATAAAACAAGATTATGAAAAATAAAAAGAGGTTGTTCTGAGAAAGGAGCAGAGATAGGGAGCTTGGTGGAAAGAAGACCTGGGACAGAGATTGGAGAGCTACAGAAGGATGTATGTTTAATAATATACATGCACTCACACACATGTCTGCTGTTATATGGTTTCCAAAATATTTCAATTTCGTCTTATCGCTTCTCTGCTCACATTCTGTTATGCAGCTTATTCTCCCCGCCCTTTTGGTCTCTACTCCACAGGAACTTCCTCAGAGACGCTTTCTCTAGTTTTCCTTTTCTCTCAGCCTCGAAAATTATTTTAATTTCCGCCTCTGCTAGACTGTACACTCTGTGAGAGTAGGGACAATGCTCATCTTGTTCAACTTTAAATCCTCTGCTTGTAGCTGAGTACACAATCCTAAGCAGGTACCCAGTATATATGTGTGGAGGCATGAGTGGATGAATGAACTCAAATTCAAAGACCAGCTAGGCTTCTTACTCAAAATACTAGTTAATTTCTAAAAAGGGGGTGGGGGGACATTGTGTTAATTGAAATAATACTGAGAAGAAAATCTTTTAGGAGGAAAAACATTTTGAATGACAATGCAGCAAAACACTGAAAGGGTCAATTCTGTTATTAACTGGCTACTTTTGTGCACTTCCAGTAACTTCTCCAAACCTCAGAGGGGGTTAGGCTCACCAAATGTTATTTGTAGTGAATGTCCTAACAGAGTGTTATGCCTTT